GGCGGGCGCCCGAGACCCGTCCGTCCGTCCGTCCGATCCCCGCCCCGGGGATGGATTGCTCACGCCTGGCGCCCCGCCCCGCCCCGCTCCCCTCCGGGCCCTCGGTGTTGGCGGTGACGTCACTCCCGCCCGCTGCCTGGCGCGGGGCGCGCGCGCGGAGAGGGGGGGGTGGGGGGGGGGCGGCGGCAGCGCGAGGCGGCGGCGGCGGCTCCGGGCGGCGGCGGCGCGTGAGTGGGGCGGGGGGGGAGGGGGGGGTCGTGTCCGTTCCGTGTCCGGTTCCCCGTTCCCCTCCCTCCCCCCCGCCTCAAGCCTCGGGGCCTCCCCGCTGCGGCGGGCCCAGGCCCGGCGGCCCCCCCGCCCCCCCCCCGCCAGGCCCCACCGGGGCCCCCCCCCCCGGTTCCCCCGGCCGGGCGGGGCCGGCCCCGGGCGGAGACGGTGCCCCCTCGGCCCGCAGCGAGGCCCCGGGGTCCGGGCCCCCCCCCCCGGGGCGACCGGTACCCCCCAACCGCGCCCCCGCCGCCCCCCCGGGCCCGCCCGCCATCCGGTGCCCAGCGACGCTCCCGCTCCTGGTTTTTTCTTCTCGGTGACCTACAAAATTTCAGCGTTTTCTCCCTTCCCCGCAGGATCGCTCCTAAAATCACCTCGGGGGGGGGGGGGGGGAGCCCGGCTGTCGGTGCCTTCCCTCCCCCCTCCCCGCCCCCCCCGGTCCTGGCTCCTCTCCCCCCCCCCGAGCCCCCTTTTCCCGGGGGGAGGGAGATGCCGCCGGCCCTGACCGGGGCCTCACCCCGAGTCCTCCCACGCCCCGGCTGCCGCCCTGCCCGTTACCTGCCCGCGGCACCGCCGGCCCAGTCCGGCCCGTTCCACCCCAGTCCGGCCCGTTCCGGCCCGTTTCTTCCCATTCCGGCCCATTTTGTCCCGTTCCAGCCCGTCCTGTCCCGTTTCATCCCGTCCCAGTGGGAACTGGGCCACGCTCCCCCCTCGCCTTGAGAACCCAGCCCCGGCCACTCCTCTCCCCCCAGTTCCCGGAGCGAAGCTGGTTCCTCCACGCCGGGGATTTCCCTCCCGGGGGGGTGGGGTGGGGGGGACGACGGGGACCCCCCAAGACCCCCAGCCCAGCTCCCCAAAGTGGGGAGAAACCAGTTTGTGCCCAGTGCCGGTGAGGAGGGGGAGGAAGAGCCGGGATGCGCCGACCCCACGCCCGGTGCCAGCGCTGGGCTTCCCCCCCCCCCCCCCCCTCCCCGCGCCCGCCGGGAGCCTTTTTAAGGCACAAAGGGGGTTATTGTGCCGCCGGCAAATCCCTAAATCCTGCGCCGCGGGGCCGCCCGCCCGGCCCGGGGGCGGGGGTGGGCTCCGTGCCTCAGTTTCCCCCCCCCCCCGCCTCAGCCTTGGGCTGCGCACCCAGGATCGACTCCCGGCTGGGCAGAAAAAACCCCGTGTTGGGGGGCTTCCCCCCTCCTCGTCACCCCGGGGCTGTGCTGGTGCCCGGGGTGGGGTGGGGGGGGGGTCCCGGGGAGCGGGTGCCCGGTGCCAGGGTGCCGTCCCGCCGGTGGGACGCGCGAGCCGGCCCCGGTTAATCATCACCCGCCGACCTCCCCCGCTGCAGGGAGCAAAGTCCCTCTGTGCCGGAGCCGAGCGCCCGGCCGCCCCGTGAGGGGGGGGGGATTTTGCCACCCCGGGGGGGCTCGCTGGGGCGTTGCAGACGCGAGCGGGGACCCCCAGTTCCTGGCGGGCCGCGGCCCCTTCCTCACCTCCTCGCTCTTTTCCTTCCCCCCCCCCCCCCCCCCCCCCCCAGCATGTTTCAGACCCTGTACAGCTATTTTTGGTGGGAACGGCTCTGGCTCCCGGCGAACCTCACCTGGGCCGACCTGGAGGACCGGGATGGGCGAGTCTACGCCAAAGCCTCCGACCTCTACATCACCCTCCCCTTGGCCTTCCTCTTCCTCGTCGTCCGGCACCTCTTTGAGACGTGAGTCCCTTCCCTGGGGTGGGGGGACACACCCCCACCCACCCCCCCCCCCCAGCTATCCAGGTCTCCCCACACCCGGGGCTGGGGACAAACCCTCGGACGCCTCGCCCTGCCCTCGGCCTGGCCGGGGGGTGGCCGTGGCACCCCGGGGTGGGGGTCCAGCCCCTGTCCCGTCCCCCCCCCCCCAGACCACATTTTGGGTCGGGGATCTGCCCCCGCACAAACCCGGCTTTGTGCATCCTCCGCCGCCCTTATCGCGGCGCGGTCGGCCGCGGGCCCCGGCGGTTAAGGAGCGATTTGTTGGGCAAACAATGGCGAGCCGAGGCCGGGAACAGACGGGGCTTTGTTGGGATGGCGGGAGAAGGGGGGCGGCCCCCCAACCCCGCCGTGACAGAGGGACCCGGGGGGGATTCCCCTGTGGTCAAACCCACCTTGGAGAAGCAGCAGCGGGATGGGGAAACTGAGGCACGGGGTGGCTGTGGGTCCCTGGGTGCCACATCAGCCGGGTGACACAGAAATAGAGATGGTTTATGTGTGCGTGTCCGTCCGTCCGTCCATCCCCCCCCCCCCCCCGACTCCTTCCCCAGGTACGTGGCCACCCCCCTGGCCGGGCTGCTGAATGTCAAGGAGAAGATCAGGTTAAAAGCCACCCCCAACGCCGTGCTGGAGAAGTTTTACGCTGCCACCACCAAACACCCCAAGCAGGTGAGGGGATGGGGGGGTCCCCAAAAGGGGCTCGGCGTGGCTTGGGGTGTGGGGGGGCGGGACGGGCGGTGACGTCCCCGCTGTCCCCCCAGGCCGACGTGGAGATGCTCTCGAAGAAGAGCGGCTGCACGGTGCGGCAGGTGGAGCGCTGGTTTCGCCGCCGCCGCAACCAAGACCGGCCCAGCCTGCTCAAGAAGTTCAGGGAGGCCAGGTGAGAACCCGGCGTCACCGTCACCCTGCGGGCCACCTCCCCTCGGTCGTGGGGGGGCTCGGGGGCACCCGCTGGGCGGGCGGAACGTGGGGCTGGCGGGTCCGTCCTTCTCCCTCCCTCGCCCCGGTGCGCGTCTGAGGACCATCTGCTTCCTTTTTCCAGTTGGCGATTCACGTTTTACCTTATTGCTTTCATTGCTGGCATGGCTGTCATAGTGGATGTAAGTATTGCGTGTCCCCCCCCAGCGCCTACCCGGCCCCCCCGGCCCCCTCTAACACCACT